ATAAGGTTTGAAGCATGGGGATGTCTGGAGATGGGTTTATATAATTGTAAATCTTATTTCCAAATTCTATTTCAACAAATATGTTTTGCATTAAACATTTATACTGTAAAAGCAATTGAAAATGAAATTAACTTTATATTAAGTATGGGAATTTTCACATTTCCCTGAAATTTGGAAGGGTCGTTTTAAATTAAAGAGTCAAAACTCACACTGTGGAATCAAAAACATAATCTCAAGTGTCCATGGATTTTTGACAACAGAACGCCATTTCACCAATATAATTCTTGCCAGATTGTTAACATAGTTCTGTTTCTGTCTTTTGAGTAAGTGAAAACAATACCTTTATATTATAAATAACAAAAATTATCAATATAACTTTCAAATATATATAACGGTACAGAGGTACCTGTAGTTTTATATTTAATTATAAATAATTAAACAAAAGAGTTTTTTTTCCCCAAAGTTTTAGTGTCGTTTACAAGTGAGTCAACTAAGTATGTTCTTGTTATTATATGCCAATATTTTCACATACCATTTTGGCTTTCATTAGACACGTTAGAGTATGTTCTGGTTACACCAGAGCCTGAGGGAGCTTTGATTCTTGGATTGGAAAGTACAGGTCTATTTGAAACGTTTCGGCTCTTTAATTTCTGGCAAAAGTTTCATTTGACTTTTAAATTCAAATGCACAGGGACCACTGAAAGCCCTGACCATAAAGATCTATATAAAGCCAGCTTTAAAAGGGTTCAATATAGCTATTAGCTTATTCAATAGCTATTGGCTTTTGATAGGTAGTGCTTTCACCACAGGTACTAGCCTCGTCTGTCAATTATAGGTGTATTGACAGACGAGGCTAGTACCTCTGCTTTCACCGCTGGCTGATATTGACCAAACACCAACTTGTGAATTATCCATTACATCTACAAAGTAATCAAGAAGATGTTGTGGAAAGGTAATTAAAAACCTTTTCTTTTCTTAAGAAAACATCATGGTTCATTATGTTGAATACTGATAAATTTAAACATTTGTCCATCAGCTGTATAAGCCCAAAAGGCAGGGTCAACGCCTATAGAGATTTAACATTAGCGTTGGCCCCTGCTTGGAATTTCAAAACAAGATAAGCTTAAATCAGGAACAGTTAGTTTCAGAATTCATTTGATGACAAATGGGACGCCCTTACCTGACACCTGTGTGGGTATTAAAGGTGCGGTAATATTATTGGTCATAGAGCATTTAAATAACACAATTACTATACAATTATATCACCATCGTGTGTAACATTTTCCTACTATTATTTTGATTCCGAGTATTACACTATTTCAAGAAAGAATTGTTCTTTATATTTACGATTTAAGCAGAAAGTATGTGAAATTTTATTACTAATGACAAAATTACCATTTTTGACACATTAACTTACATAGTTCTAAAACTAGTCTTACTTACTTACTTTCTAACTTGCTTTAAAGTTGGCTTCCAATAATACCTTTCAACATCAGTAATTTCAAAACAATTGACAACCGGAAAATTTGTCATATAACACTTTTTGGTTAAAAAAGAAAAACATAGCTTTCTTTCCACTTTTCCTTTAACTTGTGTTTCCTCATCACCAAAGGTCCTTGGGTGTTGATATTTGGCAAATAGGTTGTTCATGTGATTGGATTTAATTTTTCTACACGCTGATTACCTTCGTAAGTAGTTGGATCAAAAAAAGTTTATTACTTGGAAATTGTTGAGATCCCCACTGTATAACAATATATTCAATTGTATAAAGTATAAAGAGAAGAATGCACATTTGCTTCCAGGATGGCCCTAGGGTCTAGCTCCATCCTTGGAGACATAGTCCTTGGGCCATAACTTTAAAACGGTTGAGATCCCCACCCTATAACCATATATACAAATGCTGAGTATAAAGAGATGAATGCACATATACTTCAAGGATGGCCTTGGGGTTTGCCCCACCCTTGGAGACTTAATCCCTGGGTCATAACTTCGAAATGGTTTAGATCCCCACCCAAAACTATATATACAAGTGTTGGACATAAAGAGACGAATGCAGTCATGACATTAGAATTGATCCCAGGGTCTGCCCCACCCTTGCAGACTTAACTCCTGGGTCATAACTTAGAAACGGTTGAGATCCCCACCCCAAAACTATAAATACAAATGATGGGCATGAAAATATAATACAGATATGCTACATATTCCATTGGATCTCATTTGGAGAATATTTTGCCATAATTGCTTAGATATCCAGGTGAGCGATACAGGCCCTCTGGACCTCTTGTTAAAGGGTTGAAATGAAAACATACTTTTTGGATGCACAATGTCAGGGGGCAGTTACTTTATATGTAAACTTCCGTTGAAATTAGCACCACAGTTTTGGAGGAGTTGTCTGGACAACTGTTTTTCAACAAAGGGCTATATCAAAGGTCAGATTAAACAATTAATACCTGAATGCACAAAAACAGGTGGCAGTTACCATATACGAAAACTTTCGTTGAAATTGACACCTTAGTATTGAAAGACATGTCTGAAAAATAATACCTGGATGCACAACTTCAGGTGGTAGTTATCAAATCTGGAAAATTTTCTTGAAATTGTTCCATTACTTTAAAAGGAGTTATAGTGTATAATGGTTTTTACTATTAAGATTATTATATTGTTTTTATATAATTGCATATCTTTGTCTATAATATAATCTCAACCTTATGTAGTTGTCCAAAGAAAAGATTACTTCGGAAGAATACATATTCATGAGTAATTAGTGCTGCACATAACTTTAAAACATGTGTAATATAATTAAGTGTTTTGATATGTATTGGTAGTGTCATAATAAACATTGATAATCAATTCTCCATGAATAAGGGAAATTGGGTATTGATCATGTTTGGCATGCAAAAAAAGTACTTTACCGGTTTTGATATCACAAGCAAATGATTCTGTAGACAGAATATATAGGTGGAAAGTTTTTAAAGAAGTATGAAATATAGACTACCATTGTAACTATATAGTCAAGTTGACAATGTTGGTTATGTTTTAAATTTTGTTAAATTTTTGCATCTTTTTCTGATTAAAAGTGCCACTAAGCTTACTTCATGTGTACCAATAGAACATATTTAGTATCAAAATAACAGTAATTTTATACATTGTACACTATCATAATTCATTTTCAAAATAACATTTGCCTGTGACATTTATCTGTCATTTTGTTAAGATACCCCGTCACTCAACCTGGTGTTATGCAAGGAGGTCCACTTCGGTTATCAGTAGTAATTATAAATAAAGGTGTTGAGATGACATGTGCTTCACTTTCTATGTTTTTCACACAGGTGTGGAAATGACAGGTGCTTCACTTTCTATGTTTTTCACACAGGTGTGGAAATGACAGGTGCTTCACTTTCTATGTTTTTCACACAGGTGTTGAGATGACATGTGCTTCACTTTCTATGTTTTACACAAAAGTGTGGAGGAGACAGGTGCTTCACTTTCTATGTTTTTTCACACAGGCATGGAGATGACACACAGGTGTGGAGAAGAACTTGAAGATGTCGGTAAGACATACTGTATGCGAGGAATGATAGACAATGGCTGTATGAGGGACCCAACCTTCTTCAGGTGTAAAACCGAGCCATGTCAAAACAGGCACCAAATACAAGTAAGCAATTTTTTAAAGAGAGAAAAACATTAGGAAGGGGACTTAATTGCAGGCACCCATCCTGGACATTTGCCTAAGTGGGAAGGGGGCTGATTTGTGAGTGAGGCTTATTTTGGGGCAAATACAATACGTTACAAAGTAGAAT